TTGTTTAATGCTGTCTCTATAAAGGTAAAGACACTCTGGAAAAACTTATTTTTCCTTAGAGCAAAAAGGGAAAAGACACCGCCCTCCCCTTTTCTTGCTGTATTTTCTTTAGAAAACTTGTGACCCTTCCTCAAAATGAAGTAATCCTGCTAATTTTCACAACAAAGATCTATGTTTAGTAAGAGTCTGAGAACCACCTCTTTGAAATGTGAAAATGAAGACAGATTGTCCCTGACCCCTTGCCAAGGGGAGGCTTCACGGTGACCAGCTCCCTGTTACAATCACATGCTTGTCGGAGAGATGAGAAGTTTGTTATTCCTGTGGATAAAGACACTTAGAAAACACTGATGGCCAAGGCCGCCCCAATGACCAGGGGATGCAGCGTGAACTTGTGTGGCAAATGGCACCTCCAAGTCCTCTGACCTGAGGACGAGTTATTGTTTATCTTGAGAACATGCATGTAATTGATTGCCACCTGCTCAACTTTATAAAAGGGTGAGGTTTCCTTATGTCTTTGCCATATGCATCACATTCTGGCTTAATATTATTATTAAATAATAATCAATAATAAAAGTGTTTTCTCTCCTTTTGTTTTATAGGTTGGCAGATTTTTTTTTTTTTTTATAATTACTAAAGACCTGGTGCATGAAATTTGTGCGGGGGAGGGGGGTGTCTCTCAGCTCAGCCTGCCCCATCTCCAATCTGGGACCCCTGTTGTTCACTGCCCGTTTAGGCTTGATACCCTGCCAGCCAGATTGCCCCTAACTGTCCTCCCTACAGGCCTGGTCACCCTAACTGCCCTCCCCTGCAGGCCTGATCCTCCACCCCACCCCCAAATGCTCTCCCCTGCAGGCCTGGATCCTCCCCAATTGCCCTTCCCCACAGGCCTGATCGTCCCCAATTTCCCTCCTCTCCTGGCCTGGTCACCCCTAACTATCTGCCCCTGCAGGCTTGATTGCCCCCAACTGCCCTCCCTTGCATGCCTGGTTCCTCCCAACTGCCCTCCCTTGCTGGCCATCTTGTGGTGGCCATCTTGTGTCCACATAGGGGCAGCTATCTTTGACCACATGGGGGTAGCAATCTTGTGTGTTGGAGTGACGGTCAATTTGCATATTATTATTTTATTAGATAAGATAGAGGCCTGGTGCATGGGTGGGGGCCAGCTAGTTTGCCCTGAAGGATGTCCCAGATGAGGTTGGGGGTTCTCTTGGGGTGTGGGGTGGCCTGGGCAAGGGGCCTGTGGTGGTTTGCTGGTCTGCCATGCCTGCAAACAGAGGCCCTGGTATCTGGGATTTATTTATCTTCTAAAATTGAAACTTTGTAGCCTTGAGTGGAGTCCAGTCTGGTCAGGGTGTGTGGAAGGCTTACCTTCCTCCATTGCTGGGAAAACCCAAGCCTCTTGTTCCCTCTGTCACCATAGCCATCTTGATTGGGTTAATTTGCATACTCACTCATGACTGACTGGCAGGCGTGGCTTGTGGGTATGACTGTGGTATGGTCAATTTACATATTATTCTTCTATTAGATAGGATATTTCCCCCAAAATATCTTCCCCAGTGTGCATAAGCTCCATGGAGATTTTTGTTTTCCTAGTTCAGGGTTGTGTGCCTGGCACTGAGTAGGTGCTCCAAACATGTTTATTGAACAAATAAATGGTCTTACTGGTTGTGTCATTTGAATTTTATTTTTGCAATGAGCAAATATTACTTATAATTTAAAAAATCAATTGAGCTTCTAAAAACTCCACAATTGCCAACAGTACAGGCAGGTATTGGTTTGCTTTACAGATATTGATTTTATTTCCTGTGAATCCCATTTCTCAGACACGCATCAGCAGTCTTTACATCATTATCATACTACTTGAGACATTATCATTAGCAACCATTTCAGACATCATAAAAAAAGAGAGGACTACAGACATCATAGTCCCAGCTAATCCAGATCCTTCCTAAGTATTGAGAAGTTTCTTTTTCTATCTCAAAGGTGGTTGAGAAGAGATTCTCAAAATGCCACATCAGCATCTCCATCCTCCAACCAGCTACCACTTTCCTCAGTGGACGCAATAAAGCCCACATCACTTCTCAGAATGAACAATGAAGTTGTGCTCACTACGACTAGATTTCTGGAAGGTATTGTATGTACCAAGCCCTATGACAACTACCTTTGGTTCATGATTCCTCTTAATCTTCACAGCAACCCCCATGAGGTGGTAGTTATTATTCCCATTTTACAGATAATAGAACTGAAATTCAGAGATGTTGAATGACTTGCCAAATCACACAATTAATGCACAGTAAAGTGGGAACTCAGCCCCAGGCAATCCATAAAATGCCATTAGTCCCTAAGCTTTGGACCAATTTTCTACCTTATTTGTGGAAAGAAGAGAAAAACCAACAAGGCAGGAACCTGGGGCAGAAGGAATCAGAATTCTTCTAATAATTCTGAGCTCCTGCCATGTGCTAGGCACTAGGTTAAGCACCATAAAGATGTTATCCCCTTTAAGCCTCACACCAACGAGGGTGTTTACTATCACTGTCCCCACATCAGCGGTGAGGGCTGTGAGTGCAGGAAGGGGCAGTGACTTGCCAAGGGGCCACAATTAGTAAGTGACTGAACCAGAATCAAATCCAGGTTGCTCTGTCACCACAGCCCATGTTCTTTTTCAACGTGATGCAGAAAGCAGAGACAGTGACCCCAAATCACTCCCAGTTCAAACAGAAACAAAGCTCCCATGGGGTGGGCCAGTCAGAGAAAGGGGTCACTCTGAAGTGAGTGGCAGCAGCTACCACGGGTGACATTCAGATGTTGAGGGTTCTTTTGTGTCTGTCATCTCCAAGACCAGGGAGGGACCCTGGCCTGTATTTCTCCTGTCTCCCTTTGTGCCCAGCACAGCACCAAGCAGGACACTGATGCTGGATGAATAGTTGCCAAGCAAATTAGCTAATGCACGTGTCTCCTTTTACAAGAGCCTCTAGCTCCCGCCTTCTCAGTTTCCAATTCAACGGTGGTCCAAGAGTTTTGCATGATGGAGAGAAGAGGGGTGAGGAGTGAAGCCTCTGGGGCACTGACTCCACGCCTGTGGTGCACTCACTGGATTGCTTTTCATTCTTTCAGGAAGCCAGAGAGGTGGGTGCTGTTAGCCCCATATTACAGAAGAGAAAGCCGAGGCTCAGGGAGGTTACACAGCTAATTGTCGCAAGCTCCAGAACTCAACTCTGACCTGTTTGCCTCCCAAGACCCTGCATCTCAGAGCGAGAAGCATCAGCAGATGCTGCGTGATGGAAGCAAACCACACACGTGCAGTCGGCACCAGTAAGCACATGTTGAATGAGCCAGTAAATGAGTAGATGAGACAGTTTCAAGAAAAGGGTTACCAACACCATCTGTTGCTGCAAGCTGCCACAAATGATGGGAACTGGAAAAGAAAAAAGAAAAAAAAAGGTTGGTGGATTTGGGCAATTAATTTCAAGTTATAATAGTAAAAATTGGGGGTGGGGTCACCTACATATCCATTATAGTCTATATTAGTCAGCTCAGACAGCCATAACGAAAGATCATAAATTTGTGTGGCTTAAACAACAGAAATGTATTTTTCTCACAGCTCTGAAGGCTGGAATTTGGGGTCAGGGTACCAGCATAACATAACACCATACACCAGAAAGTGGTGGATCAATTGCTGATCAGGGCACATACCCAGGCTGCAGGTTCAATAGCAGTCCAGTGAATGCAGGAAACAATGGAACAGTATTTTTCTCTCACATCAATGTTTCTCCCTTCTTCTCTCTGAGATCAACATAAATGAATAAGTGAATAAATAATGTTCTATTAGTATGGTATTAACAGGAAAGACATTAGTGATCTATGAAGTGAAAATTTCATTATATGCATACATACAGTATGACCCCATTTAAATATATATATACATTTCAGAGGAAGGGAGATAGATAGGTAGTAGATAGAAACATCAATGGTGAGATTCATTGATCAGCTTCTTCCTGCAAGCCCCCTTCTGGGAATTGATCCCAAAACCTGACTAGGAATCATATTGTGATCTCCTGGTTCATAGATCGATGCTCAACCACTGAGCCCCACCAGCTGGACCCCATTTTTATCAATACCAGGCACAATAGGTACATTGGCAAGATCTTACTCCTAGACAAAAGTCTGAAATTGCCCAAACTCCTTTGCAGCTAGGTTTCTGGATATGATTTTGTGACTGCCAATTGGATGCACTTGCACAATATTTTGAAGGCAGAAGTGGGGCAGAGGCATCTTCCCGAAGTTTGGGCTGTTTGCTGCTGGTGATCATGTGTGCAGAGATGTGGAGGTTTCCTGCAGCGGAATCCAGGCTGTGCACAGGCAGCTGTGGCAGAGGCAGAGCCCAGTGACCTGTTTTGTGGGAGCTGGAGGGCACTGCAGGGCCAGCAGTTTCCGGAGCTCTGGGCCACAGCTGTGCCAGAGTGTCCTAGAATTCAGCTGTGGCTGAGGGGGCCGCTAGCCAGGGAGTCTTTCCTCCAGCTTTCCGATGATTTCCCAAGCACCAATTCCCTGTGATACGTTCTTTCCTGCCTAAAATAGCAAAAATCTAAAGACATTTTGGATCATCTACTTTCAATGGAAAAAAAAATGCTTTACAGAGTCAGGTGTGCGAGGTGGGTGAGGTGTTGTGGAAGGCTCCCTCCTAACCAAAGATTATTATCTGCTCATAGTTACGGAATACCATGGCAGCTGTGTGTCCCATCCTGTGGCCTTGACACTTCCCGCCACGTCCTCTCTGGGAGCTGGGACCACCTGTGACGCGCTGGGACCACTGGTCGCCGGCAGAGCCCACCCTAAGGCTCCAAGGACGCAAGTCCGCGGCCCCGCCCACTCTGGCGGGGTTTCAAGCCCCGCCCACCCCGCCGGGGTTTCCAGCTCCGGCCACGCCCACCCCGCGCGACTTCTGGGCCCCGGCGGGGCGGGGCCGGGGCGGTGGGCGAGGCCAATCAGGGCGCGCGCGCATTCCGGCCCCGCCCACGCCGCTCGGGACTCCAGCTCGCTTTCCCTCCCGTCGGCCGCGCGACCCCCGCGCCTCGCCGCGCGCCATGGCCCGCCTGCTGGTGCTGCTGGGCCCGGCGGCCAGGATCGGTGCCGGGGCCGGGCCTCACGCCTCCTGGCTCCTGGGCGCCGCGGCCCCCTGCGCCCCGCCGTCCCTGTTCCTGCCGCCGTTCCGACAGGGGCCGCACGCCCGTCTGCTGTGCGCAGCCCGCGGGGACTCCGGCGGCCGCCAGGTAAGCCTCTTCACCGCACGCCACCCCACCCCAACTCCGGCGTCCGATCCCGGGCCACTTCCGCCAAAGGAGAGCTTTTGCCCGCGAAGTTGCCCGAGACCGAGCCCCTCTAGGGTCCCCGGACCCAAAATTTCTGCCAGCCAAGAAAGCGAGCCTCCCAGATGACACCTGAGAAACAGGCTGTGGCCAGTTTAGCGATCTGCCCAGGTCCCCAAAGTGTCGGCCGCGGAGAAAACTGTAGGTGAGGCCTTCACTGGGTATCAACTTTGCCCTCAGAGTTGTTCCCTTTTGAAGTCACGTTAGCGCCTCCTCACTGGGCCTGGGAGAAGGCTGCAGTGGGTGCTGCTTGTCTCCAACCTCTCCCCACTTGCTGGGAGTTGTTAGAGACGAGCTAATCTTACCTAGTGAAAGAGCAGACTTCAGGCAAGACGCATCCAAGAACTAGTGTTATTTCATTGCCATTGCCTTCTCTGTATAGTAACTGAAAACCAGTTCCATTAAGAATGGTAATAAAAGCGTGTGTGTGTGTGTGTACATACATATATGTATGTTGTTCGCCCTTTAAGTGTGTCTCCTTAAAGAAAGAGTCTAATGGAGAGAGGGGACTAACAAGTTGTGTTGGAACATGCAGAACCCCACCTCCTGACCCACCAGGGTCTCAGGCTTGGCACCCGGCAGCCCTTTGCTTGGGTACTATCAGGCCCAGCTTTCAACAGTGGTGTGACCTCACCCAAGGCTGAAGACCTCTGAGCCTGTCAGGGGTCTAAAAATGGCACACCCCCTACAAGAGTTTAAGGGACAAATCTATGAGCAGATGCAGGCCTGAGCATGGTGCTCACCTAGCTAGCACTTGCTGAGCAAATGTTCAGTGGACATTTGATCCATGTCTTTACCATGCCTCCTGCACAGATGGAGAAACTTCCTTCCCTGCCTTCTGTTTCCCCATCAGACAGATCCTGTCTGTAAGTCCTGAACCCAGTTTGGGGATCTTCAGGGGTCCGGCACCCTCCACACATACTCAGCTGCTTCCTGTGATTCTTCATGGCTCAGCCCTTCCTCCAGGAAGCCTTCCCTGACCACTAGTGATGCCTTGGGTGCCTCCATTGGCCCCCTCAGACCCATGGGTGTGGATCTGTGCTCATCATCTGGAATGCTCTCCTGACTTGCTTGTCTGCCCCAGCAGCCACATCAACCTGTCCCCAGTCCAGGTCCTGGCACTGGCGTGTATGCCCATTTGTGTGTGTGTGAGAGAGAGAGACAGATATATATGTGTGTGTGTGTGTGTGTGTGTGTGTACAGCAAGCATGTCAAACTCAAAGGCTAGCAAGGGCTAAATAAACAAGGTTTAAGTTTATGTGGGCCACAAGAAAACAAAAGCTTCAATTTCCATAGACACATAGGTTTATTTCAATAGAGACATGCTGAAAAGGCTGAGTAATCGTTAACATAAAATAATAGAACATTTTAATAAAAATTAATATTTTTTCTTCAACATTAACTTACCAGACACTGAATAACTGCACAAATTAATAAGCATCACATAAATAAACCTATTTTTCTTGTTCTTCAAAAGCAAAATATTTCCTGTTGGGCACACCAAACAAGTCAGTCCAAGACTAATGACATGGCCATCAGCTGCTAAAATATTCACTGCTAGCATAGGTGGAGAGAAGTGGTGCGCCTGCACATAAGTCACATAAGGGAAATGAATGCAACATGATTATAGTAATCAGCCATTAGTTGTAGTTTTTTATTAATAATTATGTATACACTAGAGGCCTGCTGCACAAAATTTGTGCACGGGTGTGTGTGTCCCTCAGCCCAACCTGCACCCTCTCCAATCTGGGACTCCTTGGGGGACGGTCGACTGACTGCTGGGCCTAAACAAGGCAGTCGAACATCCCTCTCACAATCCTGGCTCCCAACTGCTCACCTGCCTCCTGATTGCCTCTAACTGCTTCTGCCTGCCAGCCTGATCACCCCCTAACCACTCCCATGCCAGCCTGATCGACACCTAACTGCTCTCCTGCCAGCCTGATGGTCCCCAGCTGCCCTCCCCTGACACTCTGGTCATCCTCAAATGCCCTCCCCTGCATATTCCCTCTTTATTAGATAGGATTTTTTCTTTAACATATTGGACAGTCCTAACTGGTTTGGATCAGTGGATGGAGCAATGGCCTGCAGATTCAAGGGTCCCAGGTTCGATTTCAGTCAAGGCCATGTACTTTGGTTGGGGCACATACCCAGTGGTGACTGTGCAGAAGTCAGCTGATCGATGTTTCTCTCTCATAGATGCTTCTAGCTCTCTATCCCTTTCCCTTCCTCTCTGTAAAACATCAATTAAAAAAAAAAAAAATATATATATATATATATATATATGTGTGTGTGTGTGTGTGTGTGTGTGTGTATATATATATATGTGTGTGTGTGTGTGTGTGTGTGTGTGTGTGTGTGTGTATATATATATATATATATATATATATATATATATATAAAGAATCATTTAAGATTCCTCCATATCTGCCTGGCTGGTGTGACTCGGTGGCTGAGCCCCAGGCTGGGCCAGGAGGGGATCTCTGCATGGGTTCACGTGCCACTGCCAGCCTGAGACCCCAGGCTGGGGGTGTGGTCCAATTGCCACATGGCTGTGGGCACTGCTGCCTGCCAGAGACCCCAGGCTGGGGGCATGGACCCAAACCACCACTTGGTGCTTGAGCATTCCCAAGTGGCTGCAGGCGGGGCTGAAATGTCCCTGTGTCACCATACATTCCTGCCCCGTTCCCAGCCGCTTTGTACCTATACCCATAGGCTCCGAATGGCCAGGGGGCGTTCTGGGACCCCTGCTGCTCAGGGCCTACGGGCCTACAGGCTAGAAGCAGCCTGGGTCCAGAGAATGTTCCCATTGCCTGGGAAACCCAAGCCTCCCTCCTCCTCTCTGTGGCCGTAGCCATCTTGGTTGGGTTTATTTGCATACTCGCTCTAATTGGCTGGTGGGTGTGGCTTGTGAGTGTAGCAGCATGGTGGTTAATTTGCATATTACTCTTTTATTAGGATAATAATTATGTATAATATTTTCAAAGTACTCAGAACCAGTACAAACTAAACACAATATAGTGTTTATTAGTAATAATATTTATCAAATGAGTGAAAACAGGTGTCACCCCAAACAATGTGAACAACTTGTAAGATGTTTGGTTCATTCCTCAAACCTTCCTGCTCCTTCTAGTACAGCCTTTGTACTTTTATGAATATTGGAGGGGCATCACTCACACACTCATGCTCACGTATATGAAAGCATTAGGTCTAAGTACAGGCACTGGGGTATATAGCGTCTGCATCCCAGGCAGAGCCTACCGTGTAAGGTGGTATTTCATTAAGAAATGAATGTCTGAAAAGTCTCCATTCCTTACAAGTCACCTCTTCATAACTTCCTTTATTTTAGCTTTAGTATTCTCCAGGGTAGGAAGAAAACTGCATGGCTCACAATGCTTAAAGATTCTCCTCCTACCCAGATAGAAGGAAGAAAATGGTCCAGGTAACATTCTAACACAGGAAAGTTAAAAACCATCCCTTGTGTCTGGATATGGTCCCTCCCACTCCCTTGCAGCAGACGCTAGTTCTTTTGTAGCTGGAAGCCAGATTGCCTTTTTACGTCTCTTTCTGGGCCAGAGGCCTTTTGCCAGAAACAGAGGGGGTGAAGAAAGGGCCTCCTCAGAGACGGCTGCGCTCGGTCCAGTGCACGGACAGATGGGCGTCGTGGGCTTGGGCGGCTCCCAGCCATCACCGGCCTCCGCCAGAAGGTCGGTTAGCACTTGGAGCTGCGGTTCGCTGGTGTTCGAACTATCAGGGCCCAGCACCTGGCAGCTCTCCCATCTGCGGTGTGATTATGAGGGAGCGGCCATCCGGCGGGTGGGCGGCAGACAGTCAAAGAGTGTGAGGAGAGGGGTCACATGTGCTGGCCAACCAAAAGGAGGAGACTGATCACAGCTTTTCTTTCCCCTCAGGGCCTGGAGGTCCCAGGGTGTCCTCCTTTAGGAACGCTCCCCTCTTAGAACAGGATGGGGACTCTGCTGAGGAGCTTAGAGGCCGTGTGGCTGGGTGGTGACCAGCGCAGTAACCAGTCCAGGCTCTGCCAGCCCGCTCGTCGCTCCCCGCCCCAACCTCCCATCCAAGTACTAACCAGGCCTGACCCTGCTTAGCTTCTGAGATCAGACACATTCAGGGTGGTATGGCCGTAGACCTGCCCCAACCTCTGTGTCCTGCCTGTCAAAGCGGGAGCGACAGAGTGGTCACATGGCAGGGTTTGGGGGGTTGTTATGAAGTGATGACTTTCAAGCGCCAAGCCCAACGCAGTATTCAATAGGACACTGGTGGTTTTCAAGTCTTTCCAAAAACACTATCTTACCACCTGTCAGAATGTCAGAATTCAATCTCTCCGTCGCCCCTCACTGGATTTCGCTGGCCCTCCCCCTTTATAAAATGTTCCTTTTGAGTCTGAAAAACACACACAAGTCAAAACAGAAAGGCAGTGAGGAATACTGTTCGTCCCACTCCCTCCCCCGTGACCTCAACACAATTCCCAGGGATGCAAATAGCATTTAATGGAACAGATTTCATTCCAAGGCCAATGCTTCTGAGTTTTGGAGGCTGTGTCTCCAACTGCAGTTTGGGGACAAAGAGGGTGCTCTTTCAATTGGGAGTAAAGACAAGACTCTTTTAACTTATAAATCTGAGTTTTATACCGCGGGGAGGAGAGCTGTTATGTATGATTAAAACTCAAGGAAGGTTCTGGGCAAACAGACCAGCACATCTGGGCCACCTGGGGCCCCGCAGAGGTCCAAGCTGCTCCGAGCAGGCTGGGCAGGGCTGGGACGTGCCCTCTCTCTGGCGGGCACACCTGGCTGTGTGCACTGCTGCCTGTGTTATTTCACCTTCATTCCAGGGGTCCTCCCCTACCTCTTAGGGCAGTGGTCGGCAAACTGTGGCTTTCGAGCCATGGTTTGCCGCTCTGTTGACTAATGAATTTGCCGACCACTGCTAAGGCATTACCCTTACCCAGAAGTTTTGACTTCAGGTTAAAGATATTACAGTAAAATGTTTTTTAAGTGTTTTTCCCTAGCAGTTGTCTGCAAACTCATTAGTCAATAGAGTGGCAAACTGGCTCGAGAGCCGCAGTTTGTCGACCACTGTCTTAGGGATTCTGGGCAATCAACGCTTGTCCCTTTGAAGTGTGGCTCTCAAAATATAGGGAGGAAGGCGCCCTGGCCTAGAGCTGATCCAGATGCAAGAGCTCTGAGGTCTGTCCAGGGCTAAAGAGATCTCCTGACTAAAAAAAGGTGTTTTCATCTTTGTTGTCTTAACTCAACGCTTTGGCTTTTTTGTTTCTTCCAAACATTGCAGACCCATAGTGCTCAGTAGATGTTAGCAGATTCCACGTGCAGTGAGCTGTATCTGTGCAAATCCCAGCCGGTGTTATGGCCCGGATTGGCCCTTCCTGTACCTGTGGGGAGGGCAGGGTAAATCTGGATTCTGGAAGTAAACGTTTCGTCGCTTCTGCACAGGTTTTCTGGGCACCCACATGCTTGTTTCATAGCGATTAGCATGGCTGTCGAGTGCTCAGGCTGTGGCCTCAGGCCACCTGAGTTCCAGTTGTGCGACTCCCGGCCCGTTCCTCAGCCTGAGCTGGTGTTGCTCTTCTGGAAGGTGGAAAGAGCAACAGTAGCTACTTCCAGGTTTGGGAAGATGAAAGCAGACAGCGGGTGGTCAGAATCATCGTGTGAGCGCTACCTGGCCCAGAGCACGTGCTCAATACAGTTTCTGAGCCCTGAGGCGTTAGTGCCTCTTGTGGATGGAACCACAGACCTGGTGGCTTAAAGCAACACACATTTGTTACTTTACTGTTCCGGGGTCAGCAGCCTACACTGGGTCTCACAGAGTAAAGTCAAGGTGTTGGCTGGGCTGGTTGCTCCTGGAGGCTGAGGGGAGAGCCCACTTCCTGTCTCTCCAGTTTCAGAGACGCTGGCCGTCCTGGGCTCTATCCTGCCGTCAAGGCAGCAGGAGCACCTTCCAGCCTCAGGCTCTGCTGCTGTCCTCACATCTGCTCCTCCGGCCCTCCTGCCTCCCTCGCTGGGACTCTTAGCTTCACATGGTCCCTCTCAGAGTCCAGGACGACCTGCCCATCTAAGATCCTGAACCTGATCACAGGGGCACGATCCTTTTGTAAGGTGACAGCCTCAGCTCTGCGGACTAGGACTTGGGCATCTGTGGGCCATCATTCTGCCCATCATACTGTACCAGCCTTTCACTGTGTTAGTGGCTAAGTGGGTGTTAATTAGCCTCAGCTCTCCAGTAAGACAGTCTCCCACTGCAGAGTGAAGAGTAGAAACTGTGATGTGGAAGCTGGTGGCCACCACTGACACCCGCTCCTGACCTAGACGCTCTCCCCTTCTCTGCTTTGTGCACAGAACCCCAGCAAAACCACTGCGACAGCAGTGAGCGGCATCAGGGATACAGAGGAGAGAAAGCAGAGCAAGTCCCAGCAGCTGAAGAAGGTTTTTCAAGAATACGGAGCTGTCGGCGTGTCCGTGCACATTGGAATCTCACTGGTCTCCCTGGGCATGTTTTACATGGTGGTCTCGAGGTGAGATTACTGGCAGTAACCAATGTTTGTTTTCTGCTGTCAAGACTATTCATCTAGCTACTGTCATCACATCTTTTAAAATACTGTCAATCTCAGAGCCAGATTGTCGTCTCAGGGTAACCCCGTGCTCGAATAATTGTTTTGTTTTTGCCCTTTTCCCCTCCAGTGGTGTGGACATGTCTGCCATCCTGCTGAAGCTCGGTGTTAAGGAGTCGTTGGTTCAGTCAAAAATGGCCGCGGGCACAAGCACCTTCGTGGTGGCCTACGCCATCCACAAGCTGTTCGCGCCCGTCAGAATCAGCATCACCTTGGTGTCCGTGCCCTTGCTGGTCAGGTATTTTCGGAAAGTGGGATTTTTTAAACCTCCCCCTGCAAACCCTTGATGAACTCTTCAACTCTGGGCCTGGAGACCCCTTTCTGTTAAATTACACAATTCAGATTGATTTTAGGGTTATAGGGGTTCTTCGTTTTTGCTTTGAGGGACAGGGGCTACTTTCTGTGTTGGCATGGATAAGTTTTACTTTTGCCAGCAAAATGTGGGTGTTAAATTCTAATTTGTTTGCTTTATATGTTTTGCTAGGGCTGTTCATCATAGGACTTATATGCATTATCTAAAATGTCAGCAAAGCATCACAAAAGCATCATCGTCAACTGTTAGCTTACCAACTTGCTTTAGGAACTGTTTCTATGAAAAATGGCCCTAGAGGTCCATCTTTATTCACATTCTTAAAGAGCAACGTTTCATTAAGCTAATTTTAAAATTCCCTTCCCTCCAGTATCTGTGGTCAGGCTGCCTGCTGTTTAATATGCAATATTCTGCAGAACAGCTGCCAGTGCTGCCATTAATGAAGCAGAATTAAAGACTTAACAGTATGTAATAATTAGCATCAACTTCTTTACATTCGTTACACTTGCCTGGGGCAGTGGTCGGCAAACTGTGGCTGGCGAGCCATATGCGGCTCTTTGGCCCCTTGAGTATGGCTCTTCCACAAAATACCATGTGCGGGTGCACACGTACAGTGCAATTGAAACTTCATGACTCATGCGCAGAAGTCGGTTTTCGACCTGGGCGAGTCTATTTTGAAGAAGTGGCATTAGAACACTCAAAGGGCTAAAGAGCCGCATGTGACTTGCAAGCCGAGTTTTGCCGACCACTGGTCTGGGGGATAGAAAAACAAGTATTTCCGGTGTGTTTCTTTAGTCCCCAAACCCCATCAAATCCAGACATGCAGGGGCCTATCTCAGGTTGTTTTTCTCAAATTTCATGAAAGTAGGTCAGGGTCATTTGTCTCTGTCCAGGTGAAATGTGGAAACTTGTCCAACAGTAATGGCGTCCTGTGGCTCCTGCCACCAGGTCCTCAGGAAGTGGACGTTGCACATATGGAAAGCTGAGACAATCCTGGCCCAACCCTGTATTTCTCAAACTCTAGACATTCCAGAACTGTCAGTGTTTACATTCTGTTGCTACTTGTATTTCCAACTGTGTTAAAATTATGTACAGTAACAGAAAGATTTTAAGTCACGCTCTAAAAAGGAGAGATAGTAGCACTTGCTATAAATGGAAGACATATAGGAGCCAGGGGAGGGAAGAAATGTCTCCGTTGCCTGCGCTGGCGGAGCCTCCTTGGGCCTCAGCATCACTGCACGCTGCTGCCCTCCAGGCTGCACTCACTCTGAGCTCTGGCTCTGCACTCAGAGCCGCAGTCTAACCAGTTCTGACCTGGTCAAGGGAGTTAGTTGTGTTTCTCTTTCTGGCTCCCTTTTTGCCCACCACTGCCCAGTATGTTTAATTACATTTGGGACAATCAGAAAACTAAAGGTACTGTGTCATCTGACAGTCCTGAGTTTATGATCTGGCTGTTGACAGTTCCCTAGTAATCCATGTCCATCACTTCAGTTTTACAAATGTCATTATGGAACAAATTCCCCATTATAAGATCCCTAGAGCGGTTCATTTTGTTTTATTCCTTTCAAAGCAATTAGCTCAGTGCCAAAAGGTTTTACCAGTTTCAAATGGAAACTGACTTTCTGGAATTTAAGTTCAAGGACATTCACACAGCGGATCGAGATGCCTGATACTGGTTCAAGGTCACTCTTCATGTGGTCCAGACCAACATTTTTTTTTAAATGTTTTTATTGATTTTAAAGAAAAAGATAGAAACATGATTGGCTGCCTCCTACACACCCCCCACAGGAGATGGAACCCACAACCAGCCATGTGTCCTGACAGGGAATCAAACCAGTGACCTTCTGGTTCATGGGTTGATGCTCAACCACTGAACCACACTGGCCTGGGAGACCCGCATTTTCATCTCATCTGTCTTTAAACCATTGGCTTCAGGCTCCTAACCCCCTTCTATACCAAACAGATCCCTCATAATACCTATGCAAAAGAAAAAACAACACATACACACACACACACACACACAAAAAAAAAAACTCTTATAGATTTAAGGGCTTAAATTTTAAACTTTGTGTTTGGAGTGGTGGGAGTGGACTGAAAGGGCAAGCAATAAAACTAATTATCACATCAAATAGCGATAGCGTTTCTTCTCAGCCCTTACTCCACTCCTCTCCCATGACCAGTGGTCAGAAGAGCAGAACCGAGAGGGTGAGGAAATTAAAGGACCGTTATGTCAGTTCACCAGCAGGCTCTACAAATGGCTTATATTTTCACTGTTTTTATGCAACTAGGAATAAAACGGATGATCTATTTTTAACATGTAAGGCATTGTTCACCTCTCATTTTTTAATCTAACAAAATGAGCAGCTTAAGTGCTGTGAAACAAATCTCTCTGTGGTTTATGAAACTTTGATTGCTCTCTGGTAAGCAATAATTGATGCTGATTGTGAAGCAGCACTGAGTGACTACGATGGGCTGTATTCTTGCTGTGTGGGATTCTGGTTGGGGAAACGGCAGTTTAGCTACTATATCAGGTGAAGTTAGTCACGTCACATTAACTATAGCTGGGGTGGAAGGTACATGAAGTATTACTATTTTGGAAAGGTGGAAGTTGGGTCAGCTCAAAGCTAATTGGACACTGCAGTTGTTTTAAAGTTGCCATGACTACTTCAACATTGATATGGAAGTGGGTGTTGGCCACTTCCTTACATTTTGGACATTTTTTATATTTAGTCTCTTGCATTGAAAGTTGGCCATGAAAGCATATTTGTCTACTAATTCTCAGTAAGTTTAACACTTCTGCCTTTTCCTTCATCCTTGTCAAGTTCACCATCTTTGGTCGATGAGCAGATGACGTTGGCAGCTAGAAACAGCATGTAACTCTGCATGTTAGGAGGCACACAGAACTTGAGACCAAAAATGGGACAGACCTGCTCATTTCCAGGCCAACAGTGAACAGGTGAAGTCACCCCCATACTCCAGACCCGTGTGTGTTTATGTTTCCAGTTTACACATATGATGTAACTCCAGTGTAATAGAAAAATAAGCCCCTAGGTGTGCCATGGAGCCAGTTGATAGGGAGCACAGAAAGACGCCTCCTCCAGCTGCGCCAAAGGGGCTTCCACTTTTATAAGCTGCAGTGAACCCTAGTCAAGCCCAGATCCCTCTTTGGGGGAAAATGAGGGATCCTAGTTAAGGGAACATTCCTTCACCAGAGAATCCAGACAAACCACACTTGGAAAGTCAGCTTGCAAAGAACCAGCTCACCCATGTATGGGGCTCTTTGCCATCCTGCCAAGACCAGGGCAGAGCCCCGAGGTGGGCAGGCAGGGATGTGGATGCTCCTGACTCCCCCTATCTCCTGACCACCCACAGCACTGGCTCAGCCCTCCTCCGCTCAGCCCGTGCCAGCCCAGGAGCACCACTTCTGTGACTTCTGCTGAGTGACTGTCAGTGCATCCACAGAATGAGGACCACCAAGGAGTCAGCTCTGTGAGCTGGGCTGTCACTGAGCACTGCACTGCATGTCCACTGACTAGAAAAGGAATGAACACTCCATAGCACATGGCAGTGAAGGATGAAGGGAGGGCGTACCATCTGCCACAAGGTCACAGCCATAGCTCCCCACTTCTGTGCCATGTTTCCCGCCATCCCCCTTCAGCAGCAGGGACTTCTCACCACACCAGCCTCCAACCTTTAAATCCTCCCTGTCCTTCCGGTCTCAGATGCCACTTTGTCTGGGCACCTCTCCCAACTTCTAATTACCCCATCACAATCTGCCCTCCCCCCACCTCACCCCACCATGGTCAGTGGCCATCCTCCCAGCTGTGTCCCTCGCTGCTGCAACTGAGAGAATGGAAGTGCTCACAGGCCAGCCCAGTTCCAGAACCTCAGCCTGGATAGCACAGCCCCGCACAGACCTCTCTGCCTAACCCTCCACCCTCACCCGTCCCAGGCCTCGCCCAGCAATGCTCAAAGGATCCACTGTAAGCTCCTGAAAAACACTACAATTTCAAGGTTATACATGAGAACTTGAAAAAGAGTAACCATTCTGTATATGTCTTAATGTATTTATAAAAACAATATATAAACCACGGAAAACATTTTTTTAAAGCACTTAACATTGAGAACTGGCTGAGATGCTTCTTCACTGTGTTCCTGTTTCTCTCAGGCAGGATGAGTGGTTGAGGGGGACTAAGCAACAGGCCCAACAGGGGAAACAGAGCATCCAAAAGGGACAGAGTCTATGCATATCTCTTTATTTAAACATTTAAAAGAATCACATATTCATTCTGACAACTTTACCAGGTGAGGCCACCCGGCAGGTTACACACCCACTCGGGCACCTGGGAGGTTATTGCACGGCTCCTGAACTGATCGGGTCGGGACAAAGGTGCCATCTGCCCACAACCAACTCGGAGGTCACGTTCCACAAGGACCCTTACTCCACACGGGCTGCAGGGCGGCTGCACTTGCATTTGCCTCCAGAGGATGAAACAAGTGAAGCGATCACGAATCTCATGGCTGCTTGCACTTCAGGGTCATGTTTATTGAAGTAGAACTTTCTATACTTTTTCCTAGTGCTGCGGATTGCGAGCAGGCAGTCAGTAGTAGATTATGTCAGGAGTGTGTTTCTGACCAATGACACAGCAACCCTGGCTCAGAGACTCTCCCCCTGCAAGACTTAAGAGTGCTTGCTGGTTGATTCTTTAGGTTTTGGGCTACTTGATGGTTTTGAGGAGTTTGCTGTGATCCAGGGGTGTTCCAATACTTCTTTCAGGGTCAGCCTTTGGTTGGGGTTATGCTTCAACAGTCTTGAAATCAGGTCCCTGGCCCCCTCTGGTACAAAGTCAGGGAATGTGAATTCAACCTGGAGTACAAGTGACAGACAGTCACAAAACGTGGTTTAGAGAGAACAGAACAAACATTCAGACCGTAGCCTCAAAGGCTGAAAAGGACAGGAAGGGTTCTAACAGGTGCTGGATCCCTCCCAGTTGTGTCTTACCCGAGATATCCTTTTGTAGGTCTCTTGGTATGTGCTTGCCTCAAAAGGAGGCTTCCCAACTAGAAATTCATAGCAAAGAACTCCAAGGCTCCAGAGGTCCACCTTCTCATCATGCATTCGGCCCTCGATCATCTCCGGGGGCAGGTAGTCCAGGGTGCCACACAGGGTGGTTCTCCTGGAAACAGGGAGGTGCAGGTTGACGCGCTCGTTTCCATGATCACAGCCGCTGCTAAAATCACCAACTGCACTACCTCTGACTGAGTGCTCTTCCTAGGCAGATCCTGTGCTCGGAGACAGGTGCTGTTATAAATCCCCATATCGCTCACCTGACATGCTCTGAGCAGTCAGGTGAGCGATCAACTGCAATTCAGCATCTTTATGTGTCAGTGAGTTTCCAAAGGCTGGAAATAAGCTGGTGGTGGCAGACAAACCTGTTGATGTTTGTTGCTTTACATTAATATTCTTTGCCACGGAAAAGCTTATGCTGAGTCATGCCTGAAGCCCAGCCAGCACACAAGTGTTCACTCAACTAAATGGTGACTGGAGATGAAGGAGCCAGCTCGCCAGACAGTCAGCCCCTCTCATCAGCACTGAGATGAGGCAAACGGCACCCAATGACTGGGAACCCTTCTGCTTACTAATGTCTGGGAGGGAGGGCGAAGTGACCATCAACATTTACACAAATGTCCTTTACAGAAAAGGGTAAGTTATCTTTCCCGCCACAGTGATATCACTGGATAGTTATGGTGTAGTTTTGTAGCACAAAGCCTACAATTCTTCATTGTTTGCCTCAGCAGGTGCCAACAGCATCCAGTGGTGATAGACAACCAGGTTTTTTAAAAAGCAGATTCGGTGCATTGCTAGAAACAATTTACAAGTGGGGGGTAATAAAAACAAAGCTCACCCCATCCCATGGTACCTATTTAAACTATACAATTTCTTTTAAAAACTAGATTTTTTTTTAATTAAAAAAAAATAAAATAAAAAATTCCAAAGAACTGTTTTAAGTAATCTGGCTCTAATTTTTAAGCCCTACCCCAAAGTGGACTAACTTCTATGAGTAAATATATGCTTGTAAATGTTCTACTTCACATGTGGTTTCAAAAGCTTATTTAAACTCAAATTAAATTTAAAAGAGTATAGAACTTTGCTCTGGTTTGCAAAGTTCACTTAAGATTTAAATTGTTTCCTTAGGTTGATCTCTCTGCTTTAATTTTAAGAGAAAAACAAGAAAGGACTGTTCTGTTGATGACAGCAGACCAAAGAGCATCTTTAACCCCCGCCCTGAAAGTTCCTGCCAAACCCATTTGGTTGTTGGAGTTCCCGCAGCTGCCCTCAGATCCAGACCTTGGCAGCTGCTACCCCAGAGAACTTGTCATAGTATGTCAGGCGGACTCCCCTCTACACATCCTGTACCTCTTCTCTGTCCTACACCTGTCCTATCTGTTTACTTACCTGTCTCATGCATTAGCTGTTAAGGACATAAACTGTCTTTATCCCAGGCCTAGGACACAACAAATAGTCTAAGTGGTTGCAGAATTAAAATGTCCTGGAAGACACTATTTTCTATCGGGGCATAAATTACTCCAAAGTATTATGCCAATGACCTGTCCCAATTGAGCACAGCACCTATGGTTAGTACTTTACTATCTAGCTCATGCTTGGCCACTGGGGCTTTTGCTAACCCCAACAAGTTCCCCCTAAAGTTACATACCTGGAGGATGGGGCGTGTACGGACCACCCAAAGTCTGCAATCTTAAGCTCTCCAGTTGATCCGAGGAGCAGATTTTCTGGCTTGATGTCTCTATGAATAACTCTCTTTGAGTGGCAGTATGATAAGGCATTTGTCAATTCTGTGATATACTATCAAAAAAGTATTAAAATTGGTGTTTTAGAGTTCATATAACAAGTTAATTTTAGACATCTTTTCTGAAAGAAAACCCAACATAGACTTTTAACATGTTTTGTAGATTTTAAAGCAAAAGCTAGAACCAATTGATGACTCAGAAATTAATCGAATCAAATTGGTGTTCAGCATGTAGTACAAGTCATTCAGCACAAGGTTATTTATTTGCTAACACAGCAGATGGGATAACGAAAGACAGGAAAAACAGTCATGGGCAATAACTACATCCCCACATGGCAAATTATGGCCCAGCAATTAAGAGAATACTGAACAACCAGTACAAATGAGTCAGATATAAACAATGTTTTCAAAACACCAAAAAAAATTTCTCAAGTACAGTCAATTCCCATTTTTAAAACCAAGGTCAATTTGCAACAAAAGAATTTGTTTGAAGCTAAACATTTACACTAAAAATATGGGGGGGAGGGGAGTAAATAATCCTGAACAATAAACAGAAACTAGAAGCAGGTGTAGTATTGGCATGTTAAATTCAGGATAAACTAATTCATTAGTCATCTTAAGAGTCCAAAAGCTGTCAATCCTTTTGTTAGTTACCACCTCAACTGAAAGATCTCACAAGTCCAGAATGTGCTTTAACATATAGATAAGAACTGTTATTAGTATAATGAAAAATGTATTTAGCTCTGACTAAAATTGAGAAGGCTTTGTTTTCCGAAAGCTATTGCTAAACAGGACTGAACATTATTCCACACCAAAAAGGTTTATTAAACAAATGGTTAAAAACCAAATGTCATTATCAGAAAAGACATTTTCATTGTTTCAGCCAAAAGCCCAAGACCAAAATGTAGACGATAATGAATTGAAAGTAAAGACAGAAACTCTTCTACACATTAGAATTGCAAAGGACAATGGGCTTTCCTTTCAGAAAGTGAAGGGTACACTGAGGTATGTCCACACAATGAAATATTATTCACCAATAGAAAGAAATGAGCCAATGGACATAGACAACAGGGGGTGAGGGTATGAGGGGAGGGGGGTAATGGAGGAATAAGACACATAGGTAACACCTTAATGAATTAAGAAATATTTTTAAAAGAAATTTAAAAAAAAAGAAGAAGAAAAAGAAATGAGCTATGTCAACCCCTGAAAAGATACGGATGAATCTTAAATGCAAACACCAGTTGTTTCCCACAGGAGTAGCTGGCTAACCATTCTGATGCCACTATCCATGTACACAAGCATTAAATAATTAAATGGATGGAAGATGGTGGAATCCAGGTTTCCCAACACTGGAGTGGGAGGTCATAGAAAGGCAAGGGGGGTAGAATGATCCCCACAGTAATGGACACATACTTTGCTTAATACAGATATAGATAGATAAATGTAGATATACTAATAGATACATGTATATACACACATTAGTTTACACATGCTTCCTTGCTCTCTGTCAGCTGAAGTAAAGACACCCAGTAGCATGAGCACACCCAGAACCCAGATCTTGGTTTCCAGTAACACACTGCAATAAAAGGAAGTGGGACTCCTGGGAGAAATGGTAATTCTAGGACTGGGATAGAAAATACACAAGATGAGATCATCTAGTAGAGTCAGAAAGCTTAAAATAAAAAATAAAAATTTTTTTAAATGCTGCACACCCACAATGGTGAGAAATGTCAAAAACACAGGAACCATGTGAAAGAGCTCCCTGTGGACAAAGTTGGAACAACTTGAGCAACAAAATAAAGTAGTATTGGATTGTAATTCAAAGTATAAAATACTGATGAGTCCATATTAACAAATGACTCGGTAAATACATAAGGAGAATGCAAACTAATTTTTGTAGATGTCTTCCCCACAGGAGGTGGAACATAACCCCACTGTGTAGTGTGGCTGTGCATAGAGCCTGCCTTTGAAGGAGCACGGTATGGAAAGGGAGAATGACAAGCACGACCTCGGCCAGGTGATTAAGGCCAACACCCACCGGGATAAGCCGGTGTGAACCCTTGAGAAGGAATGAGAACCTGATTTACCTCCATGATCTTCTCAAAACACCCACTAACCATAAGAAAAACTGAGGAAATCTGAATAAGTATGAACTTCAATTAACAGTGATGTGTCAATATTTCTTCAGTGAAAAAAAGAATATTCATTAGTTAAGACAGTGTACCATTCTAATATCAGATATTAATAGGAGAAATTAAGTGTGTATTACTAAATCAGAAAATAGATCTGTACTATCTTTATAATTATTCTGTAAATCTAAAACTCTTCTAAAATAGTTCATTAAAAAAAAACCACACAATTATTTATACACATTACCACAGAAAAACAGCTTTGAAAGCAAACCAGCCTCAACATTCTACCTGGTATCCAATTTAACTGTATATATGGTACAATGATTGATTTTCCACTTCAAATATTCGATCCTATTAAGCTATAGGTGAATTAAAAAGATCCCCTCTACTGTACTGGAAGGCACATGGCCATGCAGGACAGTAAACACGCACTTACAGTAGCCGTTCTCTGCTCATCAAACCTGGACAGTCTCTGAAGCTCTCTATAGACAGTTCCCAGAGTTGCGTATTCCAGAATGAGGTACACTCTGGTGGCGTCATGGAAATAACCATAGAGCCTGAGGATGTTGGGATGCCTGCAACAAAGGGTGAACACTCAGCACCTGGTTTTAAAGCAGACACAGACATGTGCTCAACACCAAACAAACTCTTCGTGTAAAACTGGTGGTAAAAACTTGTTCTGGTCACAGGACCCCCCTCCTCACACCCCAACTTGAGGATCTGAAACTGTAGACTTCACTCTAAGAAAAATACACATATCAGTTTACATGCTTTCAGGGTATTCATGGACCTCAGGTTTACTTAAGATTATTCTTTCCTTCCTTTAAGCTGTCTTTTTTCTTAGGGGGGGAGAGAGGGGAGGTGAAACTCAGCTAAATATCAATTCCCTGCTAATTAAAAGAGATAGGGCATTCCCATAATAACTGGATATCAAATGCTACAACAGATATAAAAGAGGTCTTCAAGAATGACAAATGTGTGCTGCTGAGGACTCCATGCAGCTGAGAGTATAGCCATCAGAGTCATCAGTCCTTCTCAAGCCCAGCCAGGTGTTGCCAAGTAGGGATACAGGCATGAATGATACAGACAAATTTTTAAATCTGAACGTACCTAATTTTTAGGTATTAGCAATTGATTCAAGTTTGAAAAAAACACCTGGGGGAGGGGGTCGACTCTGGCCAAAGTCAAGCCTGCAAATTCTGTTCACAATTCAGAGTTAGAGATCATTCCCCATATTATCCATCCAAAGAAATCACTCCATTAACATAAACCTCCAAGATATTTTTCAGGCCCACAGCATGTAAGTCTAGAAAAATCTTTGGAAAATGACAAATTCCATCCTCCTCTGCAAGACAATTAGGCAGGCAGGCCTTCTAAGAAGCAGTTCAGTCATTTATCTTCAGTGGAGTTCTTTGCACCACTCTTTGGAAGATCCCTGAAAACTCACCTAAGGTGGGACTGTATTTCTACTTCTCTTCTTATCTGATGCTCCACGCCTGCTTTCTCCAGCTGGGCTTTGAATAAGACTTTCAGAGCCAGGATGAACTTGCTCTGTTTTTCCCTCGCCAGGTACACATTTCCAAACTTTCCTTTACCCAGAGGGCGACCAATTTCAAAATCTTCCAAAGTCCATTGCCTTCTAGGAAAAAATGTGATCATTTTAAAATGTCAAGAAAATAAATCTCTTCTAACCATTAATGAGTAGTAGATACACCTTATATATAACTTCATAGTTATTGTTCAGAATGTACCACCTGCCAGAACCAAGGCAATACCACGATTAATGAGGCATCACATATTAAGTCCTCCACACCTCCACCTGCCTGCCACTGGCTGTGAGTCGCTGACAAGGAATAATCTAGACATTAGTGCTGGAATACTCAATGGCATTTCAGAAGGCATACAACCCATTAACACAGCCCATAAGAAGGATCAGGTTACGGATATCGCCAGGGAAGAATGCCTCCGAACCATCTTGGGCTGCTTGTGAACTAACCACAGCCTCCTCTCCTCAACCCCGAGAAGATGCCAACACTCTCAGGGGTGGAGAACCTCTGGTAAACGAGCGGGATGGGCCCCACAGGGCATTTAGAGGGGGAACCATTAGATTCTCAGAAAGTCTCCGCTAGGCAGCTAAAGCAACATATCATGTTCTACAATAGAATCTGGACAGTTCAGAGATTGATAGCAGGCTTTTAGAAACTATCTGGTGGAGATATCATAGCCATACTTTGTTATAAAGAACACAGTAATTCTATGAACACTGTCAAAATACTCAGTCATCTATATACAGTTCTACAATATGACCCCATATTTTAAACAAACTTGCATATATATATCACAGAATTTTATTTATATATATATATATATATATATATATATATATATATATACACACACACACACACACACACACACACACACATCAATAGAAAAATATATAGAAGAATGCATAAACCATATCCCCAGTATCCAGTGGTTACTTCTGAGGGTAGAAAGAGACTTTATTTCATACATTTCTGTAACAAATTCACATAAGCTCTTTCTAAAGTTGAAAAACTTGAGTCCCTAAGTTAACATTCATCATTAAAATCCCTCCCCTTTTCTAATTAGAAACATCTATATTTTCAAAGTTAACAATATAAAGACCTCTTTATTTTTTAAAGAGTTCACAAAATTAAATTTGCAGTTAAATGGTGTTTTCTAATAGGATAGCACAAACTTAATAAGTAAAGCTTACTTTTTTGATTCTTCGTTTTTCTGTTTCGAAGCCACTTCCTTTTCAGAATTCTTTCCTGCACAGAATAATTTAAAAACCTATTTTTAGGATAACTATACAGAGTAAGTTAAAAACCTGAGAACAGAAATAAATCAAATAATGGTCATCAAAATATTCTGACCTGGCCATTTTTAGTTTCTTTATAGAAAAGGACTACCACAGCATGAGCCAACTGCCACCCTGTGAAGTTCACAGATTTCTAGAATAAAGATGAGCGGACTCGTATAGATAGGCCTTGCAGTAACATGAAGGCTCGAGACTGAAGATTCTCCCCAAAGCCTGTTTCCA